TCAACATTTGCTCGATTCTAGAATTTTTTTTTTATATACATTCTTAATATGATTAGGTATATTCAGTTGAATCGGAATAAACTGTAACCTATACCCAAACATCTTAAATTTCACAGGAGAAACAGCACTTCAACATATGAACATTATAAATCAATTAAATGAAGTTAATATAACCAATGAGAAGCTTTCTAAATCTTGTCAATATTTTTTATTTTTTCACAACTTAATGAAATTTTTCTGGGCTCCACCTACTTTTAAATAAGAGAATTCTTTTTTGATGGCTTAATGAAAACCTTCCATTATTTTCCAGTATAAACATAATAGTGAATACTTTCAACTATTTCCATAGATCATTCTTTGTGTAACTCCAAGCTTTGTTCATATACTTGTATTAGTTACACTTAATAATTCAACCAAACTGTATACATTACTATACTGAAGGGAAGAGCAAGTAATTGACTGGTGTAGCAATTTAACATGATCCTAATATGACCAGCACAGCCCTGGGATCAAATAGAATAAGTGGATCAAATTTCAGCTCAATCCATCTAGTTTGGACAAAAAATGCACTTCTTTAAGAAATTACTGGGAAAATGAATCAGATTTCAGCTAGAATTTATGCATTTGCATTAATTATTAAAATTCAATACTTTTTCTGGAAAGTATGGAAGCATTAATGGAACACTAATATATTTTATACTAGCAGCATGGCCTGGCGTTGCCCGTGCTTGATTCAAAAATCGTACAACTCATACAGCAATCGCTATCACTTGACTTAAAATATCTTTGCCCTTCCTTGCCTTTAAAGGAGTGCTCTTTGCCGTGCTGATGTTGCTACATGCCTTACTTCTTGCCTATCTCACGCAAATTTTTTCTAAGCTCTATACTAAACATTAAATCTGTTACGAAAAAAGAACTAAACAAAATGAACACAAAACGATCAGCTTTAAAAAAAGGACTCGTAACTGGAAGAACCGAATGAAAAAAGAATGCTAACAAATACTTTTTCACACCCAACCCAGTTCTGCGGAATCAACGTTGAGTTTAAGCAAGCGAATGAACCAATTAGAGTAAAGTGCCATGCAGATTTAAATTTTCCCCCACTTGTAACGAATGCAGCTATCGATTTTTTTGCATGCTAGTTAACATTCGTGTCAGCCAGCTGTTGGCTCTCATGCTGGCCAATAGAATCTTCCTGCCTATTCGTGGCAGCCAGCTATAGGCTCTCACTCTGGCCATTAGGAAATGTGCGCAAACTATATGAAAACTGCCGTAGAATCATGAAAAAATCAATTATTTCCACTATCGATGGGAGTTGGGAAATGCAAAGTCAGTCTTGGCCTTCCCCTAACTTGGAGCATGTGCATGTAACTTTTGGTGCAAATCTGTCGAAAATTGCGCCCGTGCATTCATTACACACACACTGCCTTATATATATATATATATATATATATATATATATATATATATATATAGCACTTTTTTTTTTATTATTTTAGCTGTTGGTAGGGAGAGCTTTACCTTTGATTGTGGTAGATGCTATTTTCAGTACCCTAATTATTTTATTAGATGCTTTTGTCAGTACCCTAATTATGTTATATTCAATGTTTTGGGTTTTTTTTTAAGCATTTCACCCCAAGCAAGTCAGAAGTGCCATTATCACACAGGGGGTTATGGAGAGTGAAAATGAGAGAAAAGTGTGGGTGTAGGGGGGATTGAAGAAAGGAAAAAAGAACAGGTATCAACGCAACAAAACATGGTGACTGATGTTGCATTTAGGTTTTTGATGATTGTAGTTATCAGGGAAGCAATTGAGAGGAATGGAGTTCCAATATGGAGAAGTGCGAGGAAAGAAACTGTTAGAAGGGTGGTTACATTTAACTATTTCAACAGTAAAAAGTTGGGACCTAGATGCCAATCTAGTAGTACACTTAATTTCATGTAGTCAGGGCACCAGGGAAAAATTGCTCATCAGTGCAGTAGCCATAAAAATATTTGTAGAAAAGACAGAGGGAAGCCACATCACGTCTGTGAGAAAGCAGCTGAAGTCAAGAAGCTAATTCAGTACCGATTACATTACAGATCCTACTTTAGATTTTTTTGAGAATATTGCAGTAAGGGAAGGTAGGGGAAAATTTTATGAATAAAACTTTAACTGCGCAACCAGTAATAAAAATCACAGAAATGCAATCTATGTTGTTATTCATTTAAACATCATAATCATTTAATAGTAATAAAAAAAAAAAATATATATAATATATTTAAAGTAATAATAATAGTAATAAAAGTAATAGAAAGATACACACATACATATATATATAAACTTACATAGTTACAAACCTAATATATATTTTTCAGTGTTTGATGCAAAATAAATGTCTATTTTTAAGACTATATAAACTTATTTTTATGATGACATTTAAGTATAAATTCTGGTTCAATAACTGGCTTGTATTTTTGTACTTAATTATTTTAATTTTTTCTTCCAAGCATAGTTTGCATCTGTTTATTTATTTATATATATATATATATATATATATATATAAATTAAGATCAAATATAGATAGGAATGAAAGAGAATGGTAGGATAAGGGACAAATAGGAAATCTTTATAAATCTGACATGCTTTGTTTTTATTAATACTCGAGATGTGGAGGTTTATTTTCCACGAGGGTCGACCAGGTGAAGGTGAGAGAGGAGCACGTCACAGTGTTTACTCATTCCCCCACAAGAATGAGATGTGACACAAGGTCGGATTAATGTGGGGACCCGAGCTCTCTTGGAAGAAATTGGCTGTGTTTATGTCAGCTGCTGTTAGCATCGTAGCTGGTTGGCAATATCTTTTGGTTGATGACTAAAAATTAACTTCCGCATCTTGACTGTACACATGGGTTTCATTTGGACACATTGTGTATTTAAAGTAGTTTCTGGTTATTATTTTTAGTTAGGAGACACTTGAGTAGCCGGCAGTAACTTCCGGCTGGGTGCGATACCCTTAACCGTGCTTTCAAATTGATTTTGTGCAAAAACAATTGTGTTTTTCCATTTTTTGGCGCTGTCAGAACCACCGCCGGGTAATTTTACATAGTCCTGTGAAGTTTTGTTGAAATCGGTTGAAAAATGTAGGAAATGTGATCCTATATATAAACGTAGACACACACACACAATCTGCGTTTTATAATAAGTAAGATGTACTTAATATCTCTAGAGTATATGAATTTGCTTTTAGTTTTACAAGTTTACTTTATCCTGAAATTGTTCTCAATGTTACAGATAAAATATTTTAATCTTTGCTTTGTCATAGAAAAAAAAAAATGAACTATGCAAACTCAAACAGCTATTCATCAAAGGATTTACTAACCAACACTAATCTGCAGGAATACTATTGTTCTGTATTGCCAAAACATTGAACTCCCAAACAAAAGAGTTAATTTCACTTTGACAAATATTCATTCTAAAAAAGATCATTGTTAAAAAAAAGAAAAAAAAAAAAGAAAAAAAGCCATATTGTAAAGAGACCATTTATGCGGTCATACTTTTAGACATAGTAAAATATCAATGAGAGATCAAAAATCAAAGTTAATTATGACAAGTGAAAATTTAATACTATGACATTTATGAGGTGTTATTAAATGGCTTTTGAATGAAGCAATGTTTTAACCTGAAGATAAAAGAAGAAAAAGGCAAGTGGGATAAATAAGTTTAACCTTTAAACATTTTCAGATAAAAGCCTTTGTCAGCGAAGAGAAATGTTTTTATGAGATCATATATATATATATATATATATATATATATATATAAAGAAAAGAAAAAAAAGCAACAGGTGTTTAAAACACCAGTTGCTGGAAACACCAAAGGTTGGCAGTATTATTAAAAAAAAAAAAAAAATTTGCTCAAAACTACAACTGTAAAAACCTATTTTTGATAAGTTTAATATTTTCACATCTCAATGACACTATAATTTTTTTTCTCCTGAAAATTTGCTCTGCAACATACAAAGCAAAAGTTACTTTTTTTGTTGTTGCATAGACCTGTTTTAATTAATTTTATGTCTCCCTCCCTACCCTCAAAATTTTAGAAATTGAAACAGAGGTACATCTGAGGTCAGCGTGACCTCAAAGCAGGAAAATGATAAATTTCCATGATTGCATCATATTAGTGATCAAATAAATAAATATTTTAAAATCAAGACAATAAATCAAGCACTATAGGCAAGAAATTATTGCTTCCAAGCATTGAAAAATACTTTTATAGTATTTATAGAACTACTAGAGTTGTTGTTCTGTGTTGTGTCCCTTCAGGACATTGTAGATCATGGCTCTCCACAACTTCCTGTCCCCGTTTACCTTTTAATAATGGTTGTCTTTTTGCCATCACTCCCATATCCTGATCCACCATCCATTCACTCAAGTTCGCCAGGTTGTCTCTCTAACCTTTAATATACTGTGAGCATCAAGTTTTCAAGACCTCCTTCCTCATTATGTGTCCCAGAAAGCACAACCATCTCTTCCTGATATTAAATACAAGTGTACTTTTTGTTGGAATTGTCTCTAGAACTTAACTGTTGTTCACATGTTCAGTCCATGGTATTCTCAGTATCCTTCTGCAAAATCTCATTTCTATTGCTTCAAGTCACTTTTTCATCCATGCAGGGGATTGTCCAGCATTCATTGCCATATAGAAGCCCTGATATTACATAAAAGTTCAATACTCTTTTCTTTGTCCCTAACAATATTTTTTAGCTTTTGGAAGAGATCTTTTGTTATCCCAATATGCCTTTGGATTTGCCTGTTCCACTTTCTGTCCTTTGTTAACAGACTTCTCAGATTTTTAACTTGTTGCAGCCATTTGATTTCAGCCTCTCCAATCTATAACTTGCATGTTGGGCTGTTCCTTTTTCTGACAACTATATTCCATAGTAACATTACAAGTTAATGTATTTTTAGAGTTAAAGAAAAAATGTTGAAATATTTTTTAAAATAAGAAATGGTCTCACTCACCTATAGTTGGAATTGTTGTAACAACTTCACCAAGTTTTAGCTTGTATAGAATAGTTGTCTTTCCAGCCGCATCAAGACCAACTGTAAAAGATAAATTAGAAGAGTTAATCATGACAATTTTAATAAAGTGTTTATATATATATATATATATATATATAAAATACATTTCATTTAATAGAATAGTCATGCAGCAGTAGAAAACTAGGTTATTCTCCCCCTCACTTTAAAAAAAGAGAGAGGGAAGATTGTAGTAGTTTGTAGAGAAATCACACTAGTAACAAAAAGGAGAGATATTAGTCATAATTGTCATTGATACTGTCTGTTACAAATATCCTTTCATTAAAATTAATTTGTTTTTCAAGATATTACTCAGTTGAAATTTCAGATACAAAAAAGTAACTGATTAGACTCTAGAATAGACAATTTGGTTGCTTTGTTTTCTAGGTCATAAAAGACAACAAAACTAGAGCTTATTTTATAAATTTTTTAACAGATTATAATAGTGTCCTAAATTTGGCTCTGTACAAGAGTTAAATTTTTTTTTTTTTAAATAAAAAGAAAAAATTGATGTGGGGTGGGAGTAATACAGGCTCACCTAATATATTTAATGCAATAGAAGGCAATTTACAGTAGTCACATTTATTTTTATACACCTTAAATAAGGATAATTTAAACAAAGTAGTGAACTATATTGGCTTTTATTTCTTAAAATAGACATTATCAATTAGTGATAAAAATAAATTTAATCTTTAGGTAAAAATATGAACGTAAAACCTGAGAAAAAAAAAAAATAAAGAGGTATGTTAATTATGAACAATGAACCATAACCTACTGTTCCACTCTAACAGTTTATTAGTTACTAAACTTAGCAAAAAAGTGAGAATATCTTCATATGTCTATAAATACTCACAAATGTTCAAAGTTATCAATCTAAGCATTTTAAATTACAAAGGTGGGATGTGGCTTAAGAGCACACACGCAGGTAATCATTATTTGTTGAAAAGGAATATGTGACAAATTCTTAAGATCATTTATGTATACAATCCTCAGTAACCCATGCATTGAAAAATAAACAAAATTAATACTTTGTTAAGCAAATATTGATTACTCAATATTGATTGTTTCATCCTTCATATTTAAAGGAGGTCTGACAAAAAGCTCTTAACTATCTTTTTAAATCCTTATAATGCTTATTAACAAATGTGAAATTTTGAGCAAGACAGATGTATAAAGTCAGTGGCATCCAATTACACTTTGTAATAAAGCATTAATAAAACAATACAGGTGATTTTAGATTGTAATATTTTATTGTTTGAAATATACTTTGTATATTAATTTATAAAAGTAACCATTAAATGTATGTCTTTCATTAATACAAGTGTACTCATCTTGGTTGTTATAATACTTAAGGTTTTGGATGAAGTACCTTTAAGTCTGCTTCAGATGTCTGATATAGTTGCTAATCTTCTGAATTTTGAAATCAACCTTTTCTTCAATCCTTATAGTAGATTTTTCCATGGTTAGAAGACATCGCCTTTAAGTTAATTTTCTGTAGTTTATTCTGCCTTTGTGTTACTTGTCTCTTTCATTGAACCAAAGTAAGACTTTTCCACACCTGGGATTAAAATCATAATTTCCAGGGAACTAGATTTATTTTAACCAACGCTTTAATCCACTAGGTTATCTATCTTTTGGACAATCCAATGATGTAATTAGACCTAATGTCTATACTCAGGTGGTGAACCATGAGTGAGTTCTTTTAATCAGAGGCTTCCAGATGTTGATCTATGTTAGCTCTACTGAGAAGGTTGTAAATACCTAACATGTCTGTTGCTTTTTTTTTTCAGTTGCCTTAACTTCCACTGTTTGTCTATTATCTTGACTTCATTCTAATGGGGATTTGATGACCACCCCTTTTTTTATTCCATACATAAACCATACCCAATATCAATGATAATTTCTCATCTCAAAAATTATGGCATAAAGGTAATCTTTCTGATGTTTAAAAGAGAAAAATGGTTTTCATGACAATTTCAAAGATTGGTATTCTCAATATACCACTTAGTATTCACCCCTTTCCTTTGTTTCTCCTATATCATTAAGTAACTACCGACTGTCAGGCTTATATCGCAAAAGGTGATAAAAATCATGTAACCAATTACATACACACTTTGGAGAAGAAAGCACTCAGTTCAATAAATGTAGTTCACTCCATTTGAACAATACTAGATAACTCTTCAATTGTAGCTAAACAAGAATTTATTGGATGTAGAGTATAATTACTTTGCGTTATTAATTCCAGATATATATATATATATATATATATATATATAAAAGAGAGAGAGAGAGAGAGTTTAAAGTCTATTAGCCAGTAGAACATTTGTGCTGTTAATAAAATTTGTTCCAAACTATGAGCCAATATTCAATTGTCTTTGAATAATAAGGTAATTTTAGTGGCAGTGCTAAAAATCTATGCCAACACCAAAGCATATCATTATGAACCCATATTCATTTCATCTAACCCTTAGGTCATTAACAGCACAAATGTTATACTGCCTACCTCCATTCTATTCTTTCCTTGAAAATGACCATTATTGGAATATTACTCCCAATTTTAGCAAGTTCTTTTAAGTATCTACTCAACATCAAATGACTTATTTGACACCAGAAAAATATACCAAACTGCTCAAATATTTAATGTCTGTTCTATTTAATAAAACACTTCCAAATGAAGGATTGCTGCATAAAAATGTTATGTTAAAAATTTTATAGACTATATGCACTGGTAAGTGTAAAAGTTATGGACATGGAAAGTGGAAACATTGTACAGCATTCAAATTCTGGCAGTATTTTGTTCACTTCATACTTCCTCCAGTTATAGGTTAAGTAACAAGGCATGTTTGGCTCTCTTGCTTTGAGCAGTAATCAGTTAAGAAGGAAAACGGAATTCAAACCTTCATTGCCTTGTGGGTATCTTTGAGACAAGAAGAGAAATCTAAGAAGCAAACCCTTAGCTAATTTGGAGTGGAGTCCTTAAGATTGTTGGCTTGCTGGCATACTATGTCACTTTCCAGCAACTACTGCAGCCACACCAGTGCCAAACTATTAGTTTATCCTTCCCTTTCGGACTCATCGTTAATGCCAAGAGGGAACTTGACATATCAACACACACATACATATATAACAGACTTTACATGCACCCCAAAGATTTCTCTGTGTCTGCCAGTTTTTTTGTTAGACTCAAACATCAGGTGGTAGAGAGAGACACAGAATGGAAAGCTAACCTATCAGTTAACATACACACGGGGGAGGGGAAAGCACACTGAATATAAGGTATTCTTTATTTATAAGTATGAGGTTACCATAGATAGTTTTATTTGTGGGGTCCTAGGATGAAAAAAAAAAAAAAAGAAAGCAGAATGATAAGTACTAGGATTTAACTCAAATCTATGTTTTTTTTTTTTAATTATTTATTTATCAAAAACTATCTTATGCTTGCATATAAAAACAAAGTCATGCTTTTCATTTAACATCCTCTTGTCACCTATAGCCTGTACCATGGTGATCTTTTCCAATGTGCATAAATTACACATTTTGCTTCGTATGCATGTGCTGTGCATAAAATTCCTCCACCTAATAATGGGGCCCAGCTCATTTGACTATTAACCTCCAATATAAAGTAGCTAGTAGGGTAGCAATTAGTTTTGTGATCGAGTTGCCCATACTTCTCAGAAGTTTTAACCATCCAAAGTGAATGGAACTCACTAAGTTGTCAAGCAATTTCTCACACATGTTGCCAAATCAACTAGCCTAACTGGGGTAAGAAAAAAAAAAAAAAAAAAAAAATAGATTTCAGGATCCACATAATTCCAACAAACTTACCCTTCGAATTTAATTGACTTGAATTCCCAGTGAGGCTCAGCCATGACCATTAATAAGGTACAAAGATAATTAAGATTCCTGGCCTTAACCTGACTTCTAGAGGTGTTTCTCTTGGCAAGCTTTATATTGGGTTAGATCACTAAGCAAACTTTTTATACTGGCTCTTGATGGTAGAAACACTAGTATTGTGTATCTAGGAATCCTGTCAAACTAAGGGAGTTCAACAGAATATTTTCTCTGGTAACAACCTCTTTTTTTATGTACAAATCTTTCATTTGTGTTCATTTGTTGTGCAAGAAGAAATATATTAAAGAACATATCATCCTGTCTATCCTTGCTCACTAACATTTTATACAATTTTGGATGCATAGAATATTTTGCTTCATTAACAGCTACAGGAGTCAATGTCAGAGAGGGGATAGAAGAAGCCACATTGTTAAAAGGTGATGTGCAATTGTGTGAAATTGCCCTTCTCTACAAGTGCACTGAAAAATCCTATTTATAATCTTGTACTACTAATAAAAGCTGTTGTGTTAGCAAGCATTCATAGAATGGTGAGCTGAAAATTGTAGTGTCAGTTAATTTCAATATTTTAACTGCTTTGTCAAAAATTATTACGTGCAATGTAAAATCTTTGTTCATTTAAATTGAAAATTTCCAATTTTGTATTGTGAAGAAAGCGAACAGAAATGAGATTTTAATTTTCTTTTATTTCCTATTTTAAGCAAGAAAACTCTTGTATCCAATTTACATTTATTTACTAGTTAAATAATATATGCTAGCAAAGTTTTAAAGTTTAAACTGAATAATGCTAAAACAAGTCTTATTTAACTGTTACTCATTATAGTAGACTAAACGGAATCCAATTTACATTACATATATACCATTTTAACATTTTTATTAGAATAAAAATGCTACTTTCATTTAATATTTGTATATATCTAAGTGCTATCAGTGTGGTACAATGTTTCAAAAAGGTATTTCTTCTATACTGACACTGGTTATAATTTATTTGTAAAAGTTTCACTGGTAATATTATCCAGTTATTTATTGGAGGTATAAATTGTGCTGTTCTGTGACTAGAAACAAAATTTTTGTTCATAAAAGAAATACATCACAGAGAAACAAATATAGCAGATTTAAGTATCTGTGTAATTTTTAAATAAAATACATAATCAGGAATTATATTATGAGCCTAA